TGTTTGTGTTTGAGAGCAATACTACGAAACATTTTCGGAGATGAAAAGTGGTGACGACACATGAACCAACTCTCCGAACAAAAATCGGAATTGTGACGTCGCAATTTTATTGTCTCCAGTGCCTGAAGCTTCGGGTACACGGGACCACACTACCACCCATAAAGTTTCCCCCCTCATAAATACATTCGTAAGAGGCTCTGCCTCACCTATAGGTAAATCAGATAGGATGAAAGTGTGTAAAAAAATGTGTTGCACAGGATTTGATGTATAGCGTTAAGTTCCAGTTAACGTAGGAGAGGATGTTGGATAAACCAACATTCCAAAAAAAATAGCTCATATTTGTTTATTTATTCCTTGAGAGTTTCAAACATATCCGACATAAAATGAATTTTTTGGGATCATTTTTGTCTGTTGCATTTCTTTTTCGAGTACTGTCTGTCTAGAGATGAACCAGCCTAAGGCTGAAAGTCTCGTTAATAAAGGGAAAAAAAAAGAGTACTGTCTATAAGACAACTGAAAAAGCGCATGGGTTGTAGTTTTGGCATAGAGCTATCTTGGAGTTATCTCCAGGATTTTTCTAAAAATTCGCATGGAATTCACTAGAAATTTTTATCCGAATGCTTTTCTCTTAAATTTTCTAGGGAATTTTAACATCCAAATTCCATTCTCTTAGCTCAGTCAGTAAAGGTGCAGCTAGAAAGAAAGACCATGCTGGCGGTGGCTGAGTTCGATTCGTGTTCCGGTCAAGGATTTTTTCGGGTTGGACAACTTCTTGACTTCCCTGGGCATAGAATATGATTGTACTTACCACACAATTAATATATAGAGCACGCAATAATCTAATATGCGATAAGCTTGAAATACTAAGAAGAAGTCGTATTCTTCTAGAAATTCCCTTAGAATTCTCATAAAAATCCATTTCGAATGATCCTCAAAATATCCATGGTGTTTTCCCCACATTTATTTTGCAGCTATGCTCAGAACTCCATAGCCTCAAATTTCTTCTCAAAATTTCCTTGAAACTCTCATCTGAACTGTCTTGAAGTTCACCTCAATATTCATTAGAATTGAAACTGAAATGATGATTGTGAGGAAATCTTCATGGAATTCTCATTGATAATTATCTTGGAGTTCAAGTCAAACCGCCCTTACTGCTAAACTTTAAATACCTCGTAACGTCGTGCGTTTATTTCGTTTCAATTTTTAGTTTAGTTTAGAATAACTATGGTTGGTATTTGAACCTTGTAATTAATTAAGAATTTCAATGCAATTGAAAAAAAAAAGATTGATCCGCTTCTAATGCAATGTAGCAAAAAGCTTCGTGATACGTACATTTGTCGGGATTTTTATGGCAAGATAAAAGTGAACTTGTAGATTTGAAGCTTTTATAGCAAGCTAGCAGATGTAGCTTATGTTTATAGATTGGAAAATACGTAAAAGAGACAGGATTCAACTGAACACCTGAGTAAAATAGCTGAGCCGAACATTGATTTTTCGTGCCATATCCAATCCTTTTATCTTTAAGAAATTCCGTGGTTTCTTGGGAAAAAGAAATTCTAGTCTCTGCCACGCGGTTTTCAAGTTCGTCTGTCAAGTGTGAACTCAGTGAAATTCGATCAAAAAGATAAAGGTGATTAAATTAAAAGAAGTGTTCGAGCCAGTTAATTAATTCGATAGCTCTTTTTGTGCATTTAGATTTTTCTTGCCTGTAGCAAGTAGTTCACGTTTCAAAACGCTGTGTAGATAGTGTGTCTAAATACAAAAAGGTTATTGTTAATTTATTTTGCAAATTTAAATATTAGATGAGTAATTTTGTGATTTCGCGTTGGACAGCTCCGTTCAACGGGCTTTTTTGTACGGGCTGGAATTTTCGGCGAGTTCGGCTTCCATCATCGCCGGACCGTGTGGTTGGTCGTGGCGTCAACCTGGCCGCCATTTCCGTCCGTTGGATTCGGACAAGACCCGGGTACATTGCGAAGGCCCGCCTCTTGTAGGTAGATAAACGGAGTGTCGTGAAGTTGCTAAGCGATATTTTTCCCAAGGGTCGCCAAAGCCATCTGATAGAGTCCCCATAAGATAAAGGTGATTACAACAACCCCGGGGACCGTGACATTCGAGAGCTCGGACCGCAGAAGTACGAAGCCAATTGCGTATCTCGGTTCGGATTATAACCAAAGAGGAGAAGATTACATTTCATCTCGGGCGGTCATAGCGGAAACATAGTACGCGAAGCCGTGCGACGGTACGTTAGTCTCTCTCTTCCGCGGAGCGAATCTCCCGGAAATGCTCGACTCCGTCGATGCTCAGCTCTCTAGAAAGCAAATCTCACTGCCTCCGCACCTCTAATTTCAGCCATACCGCACACGGGTCACTTTTCATTGCTGCACGCCATTTCCGCAACTTGATCGGCGCCATTCCGAGACCGCCGCCATTATCACAGGTCGTCGGAAGGTCGACAGTCGCCATCACCAGGACCTTGGTAAGGTCACCGGCCGCCATTACCGCTCCATCCGTCGCCATTACCGATTCGTCCGTCGCCATCATCGCATCGCATCGCATCGAAAAAACCTGCGCAGGTATGCCCGTACTTTTTTTTTCATGGCCATAGTTTGCTTTTTGAACCGAGTTTAGTCCAACCCGAATAAATGTTAAGGAATGATGTGAATATAGATTGAAATTTGAAGTTTTTCGTTGAGTTACTTATTTTCCTGTCACGGTTTTTTAGCTGACTCGCTCGCCATTGAGTTCTTGGGCTCGTCTTGGAATCGCATCAGACACATTCGGTTTAGCTTGGTTCGTTAGGTTTAATGAAAATTGGGACTATAATTTGTGGACTTCTTTGAGAAGATTAGATTCCGTTAAAGTTTTGAATTTCATTGAGGAAGGGTTTTTAATCATACCGTTCGAGTGGTCCTCTGAGGATCAGTCTCTAAGTCGGGCAAAGAAAACACAACCGGTGGTCTCTCGTAAAGGGAGTGGCGCTTAAGCCACCGAGTTTCACTTGAACCTCGAGCATTCTTCGCGAACGGTTACAACCTTGGTGTTATGTCTATCGCTTTTACTCACTGATATGATTTTCCTGAAGGAGGTGCGGGTGGCTCAAAGCACTGCACGACAGCACATTCGTTTGTATTTAACTCAATCATGAGCAGCACTCTCGACAGACTTGTTATTTCCTCACACATTGAGCGCAAAGAGCAAACTTTACAACGACTTATGAATTCAACGTTCATGGTTCGTCCCAGTCTGTTATTTTTATTGTTTTACCATTATTTTTCATAAACAAACTTATGAATATCGATAGTGAACATTTCAAGTACCAGAATCTAATGATTTTTTTTACAGAGAGAAGAAGCATTTTTTTTCCCGATATGTCATCGAAATTTACGGGTTTTTCCCGATTAATTCCCGATGATTTCGAATTCCTGGCTTTTTCCCGGTTTTCCCGATTTCCCGGTACTCTGACTTATTAGTATGAAACTAATAAAACGTTTAAAGTTTTCTTAGGAAAATCCAAACTAGTTCTAATCCCAAAAACTCAAATAAAGAATCACCAAAATCTTCAATAAAACGCAAAAAGTTGCCTAAAGTTTACAAAATAGCTTCATCAACAATAAGTGAAAAGAAAAACAAAATTGTCTAAGAAGCACAACAATGCCTCTTATACGCCAAAAATGGGTTTATAAATGCACAAATGGTCTTAAATAGCGAACATGGTTTTAAAAACGCCAAAATGTATCAAAATCGTCAAAAAAAATTCTTGATTTGCTTTCCGTACCGCCAGGGAAGCAGCTCCCACACCTAGACCCTACATATCGACTCATCAGCACACATATGGACCGGAGACCAACGGCTTTACTTCCCTTCCGATGGAAAGCGTGATCAGGGATTAACATTTTATTATAATTAAGAAACTTATAAACTTTCGCTCGATCCTTTGGAGGGCTAAAGAGGTGGGACCTTCAGCATCATCTTAAATGATTAATTAAGTTAAACACCGACATATTTTAAGCCTTCTAAAAAAAGTAATTACTCTCAGGCATGGGAAATCATTTACATTCATTTGCCTATAACTTTTTTTTTGAACAGCATTCCGCAAAATAACGTATGAGGCTTTTGTAGGTTTTGTTATTAGCTACAACTTTTGTAAACAAGTCAAATTCGTATCTCTTATGCATGACGAACCAGAGCGAACAGAAGCCACTACTGTTTTTCAATGAATGTCAGTCGCGATCCATAAATTGAGAAATGCTGATTTAGTATAATCAGAAATGGAATAAAGCGCTTAATTAAATTTCTAGATAGCAAAGCAGACCCAAACCGTGTGTTGCCAAAAACGGGAAAGAGCTGTAATTAATAAAATCCAATTAAGGATACATAATATAATAGTACGCACCGTGTATCGAATAGCGATCCCGACCCGTGTGCATCCCTACCGCTAGGGGCTCCAGTTCACCTAGCAGCGTCATCGTGCATAGCGGCAAAACAACGTGAATAACATATATTCAAGTCTAATGAACTTGGAATACCATCGTCATTGTATGTTTCATGAGAAATCCAAGCGAAGCACAAGGAATTTCGTTTTTCCTCTTTCCCCCCTCCCATCCTATTTCAATCTCTCTTTCTCTATCTCATACGGTTCTGCATTATCTCACTGCTTCGTACCCACTTATTTTCCTTTTCCAACTTCAAGATATTCATCGTTTCAGTACTATCTCATATTATGTATTCTTCGAAGTTTCTCCGGTTTCTACGCGCGCTCTCTTTTGCCCTTCTGCCATGGCAACAACAAAAACAACAACACCAACAACAGTCTCGGAGGGCTCAAGCCTACCACTTACAGCACTTATTCACTGGCTGCGAAACTTCTTCGCCTAGATACGGCCAGCAGAGCGCAACTTGGATACAACATACAAAAAAACGTGTTGGTACAGTAACAGTAGTAATAGCACACCAGCTCGGAGAAAACGAACGAGATTGAAGATCATAAAAAGTAATACCTTCTCATCCAGCTGCAGCTCGCCAAACGCCGGCCGTTCCGTTAGATTCTCTTTGTATTCCTCGTACTTTTGCACAAACTTGGCCCGTTTGCCCACCTTCGGGATTATCTCCTTAATCATGTCGTATTTCAAACACTTGAACGCGCCTTCATCGATTTCTTCCTCTGAAACAAAAAAGCGTAATGGGAACACGGAATGAGAATACTGCGGTGATGGTGGTGCAGGTGGTGGACGGAGATGTCAAATATTCCAAACCGGGCCATGTTTGGTATTCGAGTAATCTCTCAAGAAGACAAAGTTTTCATGCTCGACAGTAACTTCTTTTATGTGCTTGTTTCAGTATCATACATAAGCGAGAACTTGGAGCTGGCTACCCCCTAACACCCTCCCTGCTTCCTAGAGAACCATTTATCCCGCCAAGCGCCAAGTGTGTTGAACTGACTATCTATAGGGTTTCCTTTTATGTGGACCATCGATCAAAGCGTAAATGTGTACATAAGCTTCGGTTCAGTTGGAATATAGCAAAAACAACGTCCACAACATCAGCGCGATATTACGCAAGACCAAAAATTACCGAGAAGAGTGAAATACGAGCCAACGGTATTTTATAATCAATGATAATAGCTGTAATTTTATAGCAGAGCGTTTGCGCAGCAGACGCTCAAGCTAGCCGCCAGAGGAGCACAGAGAAAGAGAACCGGCGATGCACATTTAGAAAGTGCAGAAAGTGCTTGCGCGGGAGTGGGGGGGGGGGTCTTCCGGTGGAGCGCTGGTGCTGGATTGCATGACTTTGATGTATTCGTATTGATTGGAAAGAAGCGTTGGTCTGGTTTTATTTGTAATTACGCTTCCAAAACATTTGAAGAATATTGTGCCATAAGCTTCATGACAACACTCTTATCAGTGCACTTTTTTTGATAGTATCGTACATTATACTGCTATTTGATAAACACGTTGAAATAATATTGAAATCGCATTACCATGCGTCAACCCAGATAAGGAAGTTGGGAGCTTAAAGGTTAAATGGATGTTGCGACAATATGATTGCATTTATTTAGATTGATTCGATAAATCAGCGCCAAAATCAGATGAGCAAACAGTTAGTGCAAAATTATAAAGACGACAAAAAAAAAGTCGAAATGTAAGAAACATGGTAACCGTGCATGGTGATTTTTTAAGGGCATCGGTATTCTGAAAAGGTATTTTACACAGTGATGGACAAAGTGGAAATTTTACGATGCTGTACAAGTTCAATTCTACAGACATCATCCTTCTTTTCTAAGGACATTATGCACGGAAACCTTTTCATATACAATTTATATTACCATCGAAATCCAGACACCGGGCACTTTTAAAAGTTGATAAGCAAGGCCAAATATGATCCAAATGTCACTTTTTTTATGATCCTATTGTTTCGTCCATGTTCATCTAACATAATTGTTATGTTGTCAAGTTGATGAAGTATTTAAGAAAAATTAAACTTCCAGATTAAAAGACTGTTCCGGTATTCGGTGCGTTGCGGTACCTGTTCGCATTTTTCAGGCTTACAACTGACGGTCTACTCAAAATGTACGGAGCTGAAAAGACTGCTTAATGTTTGCTCCATGTTAACTAATATCGTGTAACATTTGATTTCCTTGATGTGTCTCAGTCCGAGCAAAGCAAAATAACACAGATATTGGTGGGACCAGCAATGCACTGAGGTTTATCGTAAAAAGTCCGACGCGTTTAAGCTTTTCCGGAAACGTGGAACACCCGTGCATTTCGAAGCGTACTCGGCTCTTGAACGTGAACTCAAGAGCCGAGTCGCGATGTTATCGTGCATTCGAAAATTGTTGGATAAAATGATCCTTTTTCGCTTGGACAAATAGGTTGAGACGAACCACCTACTTTCAGATACTCAATTTGGTTTCCGTAGGGGCAAGGGAACGAACGACTGTCTCGCGTTGCTTTCCACAGAAATTTAGTTGGCTTTTGCTAAAAAAAAAAAGAGCAAATGGCTTCTGTATTCTTGGATATTAAGGGGGCTTTTCTCTTCAACAGTTTTTGTTTGTCTTGTCCCCCCGTCTCGATAAGTCTCATCGTCGCCCACTGGTCACCATAGCCGGTCGAACTCCTATCCTATCCTTCGAAAATGTACCTCTCTAACCTCGAGTAAGCCGCGAGTATTCGGCCCAACTCCTACTAGACATAGAATTAAGTGAATTTTGTTACAAACAAAGAACAATGAACTATAGGCTCCATAAAGCTAACGCGATTGAGCCTTCCAAATAAACGAACTAGTTAAAAAAAAGGGGGCTTTTGATTCAGTATCGGTTGGAGTCCTTTCAGACAAACTCCACGCTTGTGGGCTTTCTCCATTAATTAATAACTGTTTGTACAATTTGCTGACAGAGAAACATATGAGCTTTTTTCATGGAAACTCTACAGCTTCTCGATTTAGTTACATGGGTCTCCCCCAAGGCTCATCATAAGCCCCCTTTTGTATAATTTCTACGTCAGAGAAATTGACAACTGTGGAAGTGACAACTGCACGTTGAGACAACTTGCAGATGACAGCGTAGCGTCTATGACAGGGCCCAAAGGGATCGACCTGCAAGGACCCTTACAGGATACCTTAGACAATGTGTCTACTTGGGCTATCGAGCTAGGTCGTTTTTTCTAGGAAGCATAGCCCAGCATAACCTAAGCTTCAACTTTTTGGTAAAGCGATCACTCATTCTATGTCTTTCAAATATCTTGGGGTCTGATTCGATTCTAAATGCACCTGGCGATCCCACATTGAGTATCTGAAGCGGAAATCCCAACAAAGGATTAATTTTCTCCGTACAATTACCGGAACGTGGTGGGGAGCCCATCCGCAAGATCTTCTAACATTTCGACGGACAACGATTTTATCGGTTTTAGATTACGGTGGTTTTTGCTTAAAGTCGGCGGATAAAACGCACATCATCAAACTGGAACGGATCCAGTATCGCTGTCTTCGTATCGCATTAGAGGATGCATGCACTCGACTCATACGATGAGTCTAGAAGTGTTGGCGGGCATGCTGCCACTATCGGATCGGTTTTCTGAATTGTCCTTCAGGCTCCTCACCTGTCGTGAAGTTATGAACCCACTGGTAATCGAAAACTTTGAGAAGCTTCTTGAACTAAACCCTCAAACTCGTTTTATGTCATTGTACTACGGGTACATAACACTGGATGTCAGCCCGTCACAGAATAATCCTCATCGTGTATGCGTCTCCGACTTCGGCAATTCAGTTAGTTTTGATTTATCTATGACGCGGGAGATTCGTGGGATCCCAGAATATCATCCGTCAATTTATGCTGCAAAGTTTGGCCAAGTTAATTCCGCAAGATCATTCTTCACAGATGGATCATTAATAGAGGCGTCCGCTGGTTTTGGTATTTATAACGAATTTCATAGCGCCTTTCGAATGCTTCAAGCTCCCTGTTTCGTGTATATTGCTGAGCTGGCGGCTATATACTATACGCTAGAAACGATCGCCTCACTTCCACAAGATCACTATTTTATTTTTACGGATAGCCTCAGTTCTGTCGAGGCTATTCGCTCTATGAGGCAGGTAAAGCAGTCCTCGTATTTTCTTATAAAAATACGAGAGCTTCTAATTAAGCACTTTAAGATCTTTTGAGATCACCTTTGCATGAGTCCCATCTCATTGCTCGATTCCGGGCAATGATATGGCGGACCCAATTGCTAAGGTGGGCGCTATGGAAGGCAATATTTACGATCGACAAATTGCTTACGATGAATTTTTCTTCATTTACCGTTCGGAATATTTTGAGAAGACGCGATCTGAAGTTTATGAATAGCAACTCTTTGTTTATACCAGAAAAATCAGCATATCGGGAAGGTCATTGTTGTGAAACTGCGTTGAATTTGGTGTTAGCAAAGTGAAAAGACAGCTTGGAGCGTAAAAATACGATTTTTGCTATTTTTTTGGATCTGAAACGCGCTTTTGAAACAATTTCTAGGCCCTTATTGTTAAGTATAATCAAGCGCTTTGGAATTACGAGTACTGCATATAAATGGTTTGAAAGCTATTTATCTGACAGAACTCAACGTACTGTTTTCAGGGTGTCTACTCAATCCAAGGAATCAAATTCCCTGAGTTTTCCAGGTTTTTCCAGGTCGAATGAAAAAAATTCCAGGTGCATACAAATTATACACATTATTATTTTATCTATTTATCCATCTGGAATCCCTTTTATGTACTTATTGATTTATGTTATTTTCGATTGTTCAAACTTGGGCGTTGGTACTTATAAGTCGGCACAGTAAAAAAGTTATTGAATATTACAGCAGAACAGATGCACATAGGTTGTTTAATATTAATTTGTACAATTTATGTTTAGTAAATGCACCAATGGATGTACGTTAGGAACCACCATAGGAATACATTGCACTAAAGTACCTCCACTATTGGTGCATTTATCCTACACATAATTTGCGAAAATAAATTATATCCATGGGTGTAATACTGTATTTGGTTTTTGCAATCACATTAGTTATTCATACAGTAACATGCATTACGTTAATTCAAGAATATAAATACAAGTAAGAAACCTGTCTATACTATTTCGATAAAACGATAGATCAAAATTTGATAACAATATGTTTTCAAAAACAAAATATTATTTTGATAATGTGTTTGGAAGACCAAGATAGAATAAATCAGTGTTTCGCATGTCTAAAATCTCTTAAGGTCCGTTGAGACTATCTGATTTCTTGGTCTGATTTTGACCACCGCCATAATGAAAAATCTGCTCGAATTTACTTTCGATACACTTTGTCGAACCCCCCTGTTTGCTGGTGTTCACACTGCTTGCACATGTCGAAAGAACTGTCAATTTAGATTTCAAAACAAAACTGTATCAGGAATCAAAAGTAAATACTTCCATCATGAATTATCGGAAAATTGGTCTAGTTTCGGCAGACGTATTTGCTTTTATTATTTTAAATAAAATGAGAAAAAGAAGGTGAACTTTGTGGAGTAGGAAATTGTTGCTCAGGAGGAACACCAGCAGGGATCTGGCTAATCTTGTCCATCAAGAGCTGCGATATGAAGATGAAAATGGATTTCAAAACTTTGCCAGGATGTCGATACCAACTTTAAACAAGCTAGTGGGAAAAGTTCTCC